CATGTTGGCAACATGTACAGTGACAAAGTCTTTGGCCATTTTAGGGAAGTGTTAAAGAGACGCCAGAAACAGAGCTCTCTCGACAGTTATTTTGCGAGACAGGACTCCAGTGACTCTCAAGCTGGTCCTAGTGGCATTAAGAAACAGAGAAGAGAAGCAACCCCAGAAAAGCAATTGGTACCTGAGGTGTTGCTGGAAGGGGATTCCCCTTCCAAACTGTAAACCATCCAATCTCTCTCCTCCTCCAGTCTCCCTTACACTAAGAAGAATCTCCAATAAAGGTAAGTGTTATGCTGTTAATGTTTCATTCATCATTTCCCATTGTATTGTTTATGTACTACATCTATATTTCATGTAAAATTTTTTTTTGTTTTAATACTTCTGGGTGTCAGGAACGGATTAATTGTATTTACATTATTTCTTATGGGGAAAATTGATTTGAAAATCATAGATTTCGATAATAGTAGCAACTCCAGGAACAGATTAACTACGATAAACAAGGGACCACTGTACAGGGTTGGATGTGAGTGGCTGAGATTTGGAAGAGTTGGTGGATGACCACAGGGAAGAGCTAACCACTGAAGAGCTGCAGCACCTTCAACTGGAACAACAACAGATTGCAGCTGAGGAAATTGCTTCAGAGGATTAAGGACGTGTGCAAAGTGGAGTGAGTTGCAAAATTTTGTGGAGAAATATCACCCTTACAAAGCTGTTGCAAGCTGTGTCTGCAACATGTTCAGTGACAATGCCTTGTCCCATTTTAGGCAAATCTTAGAGATACCAGAAACAGACCTCTCTGGACAGCTGGTCCTAGTGGCAGTAAAAGACAAAGAAGGGAAGTAATCCTGGATAGGGCCTTGATACCTAAATTCCTTATAGAAGGGGATTCCCCTTTCCAAACAATAACCTCTCTTCCCTCTCCCCTCCTTGCCGTCTTCCATACACCAGCAAGAGCCTTCAATGAAGGTAAAAATTATGTTAAATGTTCATTTATCCATTTCATTAGTCCTTTATATTTATTTCTCATTGTTTTCTGTATGTAAAGCTATAGTTATTTTCTATAAAATGTATTTTTTGTTAATACTTTTGAATGTCTGGAATGGATTAATTGGATTTTCATTACTCCTTATGGCAAATATTGCTTCAGTTTTCATCGAATTCAGTTTTCGTCAGACTTTCTGGAACGAATTAACCCTTTCAGGGTCCGTCCCGTAGATCTACGGCTTTACGTTCAGGGTCCAAACCGTAGATCTACGTCATGAGCTCAGCTCACTCTGATAAGCTGTGAGTGGTACATTTGGGCCTAGATATGAGAGAATACATCTATGTGGTATGTGTGCACCACATAAAACAGATCCTGCAGCACACTGTGTATAATGAGAGAAAAAACTGAAATCATGATTTTTCGATTAAAATAGCGTCTTTGCAGTGTTTTTTCGTATTTTTTTATAGTTGTATTTGCGATTTCTTGGTCTCATTTGATAGAATGGAAGACATATTACAGAAATAGAGATGATTTTGATTGGTTTTAGCACTGGAAATGGCTTGAAACTGAGCTCAAAGTAGCGGAAATGTTAAATTTTTGCCAATATTCAAGAGTAAACAAACGACCTCCCACGTTTAATATACGCCAGATGGTGGGTCTAATATACATTCACAAATATAGTGATGATATTTATACAATTATTACAGTATTGCATAACAGTAAATCTTCTGTTTTTTGGTGTGAATAAAAATTCATTATGTGAATAAAAAATCAAAATGGAATTTATTTGTAAAGCCTCAAAACGTAACTAATGAACAGAGGAAATGTTAGTTTAGTTCCAGGAATACCTACATTGTTTATTCTGGACCCTATTTTGAAATTGGAATATTTTGAACTTTGTTTTAAATTGGCCAAATTAACAATTTCTGATCACTTTATTTTGTAGTTGAAACAGTTGACTTGGCGATTTCTTGTGCTCAATCGATAGAATAGAAGTAATACTAGTGAAATAGCTAAGAATTTGGTTGACTGGAATAATGTAATTGGCGTAAAATGGGAGTCAAATTCGGCAAAATCGCCGATTCGTAAATATCGCTGACACATCAAAATTCGCGAGAGCATAATTTCGTCAATTTTCCATCAAATTTCATACTTTTTGTTTTATTACCTTCAAAAAAAGATTCTCTACCATTTCATAAGAAAAAATAAACAAATTTTTTTTTGAAAATTCTTGGACACTGGGGGCACTACTTCAGATTTGGGCCTTGGACCCTGAAGGGATTAAAGACGAAAACTGAGAATCCACTTTACAGTATAAGATAAGGTTTGTAACTGAATTTTTAGACAACACTTAGATCAACTTTTTTTTTTTTTCAATGAACCGGCCGTATCCCACTGAGGCAGGGTGACCTAAAATGAAAAATAAAAGTTTTTCTTTTTAAATTTAGTACTGTATACAGGAGAAGGAGTTACTAGCCCCTTGCTCCCGGTATTTTAGTCACCTCTTATGACACACACATGGCTTACAGAGGAAGAATTCTTTTCCACTTCCCCATGGAAATAAGA